AACGTTAATTATAATTTAAATGAATTGTAATATAAATTTACTTAGTAATAACTTCTTTTCTGTTTAGCAACTGAATCATACGTTTCAACGGCTGTATCATCGAACAGTGCTGAACCTTCTTTGTACGAATCTAGCATATTGCCGTGCCAACTTATGAAGGCATTTTTTTTCGTATTTAGCTTATCCGGATCACGTGCAAATTTGTCAAAAAGGGTGGTCAGGTCACAGCCTCAGAATTCGAGTACGACTCATTCAGAATCAGATCAACTAAGCGCGGATGCCGCTGACTTAATCCAAGAGTACATTCGGATGGTACACACAAGATGTAACGTTGCACTGATGTGTTTACCATTGGCTTTCTGCTTTCAGTTACACGCTACGTTGTCGAACGAAGAACTGAAGCAATTTGCGATCCTGCTGAAACGTTGGAGAGCTGACAATCTGCCGTTTTCCGAGTTCTTCCAAAAAGTGCTGGAATTGTACGGCTCTGAACGAAAGTATTTGCTAGCCAGTATGCCGACCGCAGCGTACATTGTATCGCAAGTACTTGTGCCTTATAATTAGGAATGCGCCCGTTCATACCAGAAAACGAGTTGACAAATTTCGAACATTTCTTAGAGCTCTCTGGTTTCCACAGGAAGAGCCATCCCAGTAGTCTGAATGACCGAGAGAGTCAAAGCTGTCAAATGCCGAGGTAAGCTTAATAATGATAATATTTGGGCATAATGGCAGGCATTGATGGTGACAAGTAAAATTCGACTTCAAGCTCAAAATACAGTTTGTTTCGAAGGATGACGCTTGATTTCTCACCGAGGTCAGCCTTTGAGTGCGAGGGCTGATTTGTCTGTTTTAAATTTTTATCTTCTTTGTAAATGATCATACATTTTTGTCTTATGTTTCACCTGATGACTGTGAAGTCACATGTCTGTAAGAGTAGTGGCCATGAAATTTCATAGGGTTTGAAATCCATTGGCTCTGCTCTGAAACTTACGGACTATTCTAGAAGTTGAGACAGGTTCGCTGTAATGTGCGAATCACAAGAATCGAAGTTGCTGCCAGAGTATGGGACAGGGTGTAAAACGCAATCATATATTCGTTTGGTGATACCGCGGATCAGAATCAGTTGAAAT